AAAATATTCTATTTTTTTTTATTTAAATGTTTTATTTATTAGTCGGCAGGCCACTATGATGTACAAGATGATTGATGGTTTATTAAAGCCGGATAAACTGAGCCATTATCTGTACCAAGCATTCCTCTGTCCACAAAGATTACTGCAGTGAACCTCATTCCAGAGCCTCTGCCTCAGCCTCCTTCACTCACAGTCGGTGCTAACCACACAGTAATGAGCTCTATTATCACAGTAAACATGCAATTATCAACTTATTTTAATGTCAAGTTCAGGCTGATAAACGATAAAACTATGTGGACAATTTTTATATACAAAATAAACTACCCTTTGCGTACCTCTTTCAGCACAAGAGTAAAATTACTAATATTTTTTGTTGCTTCAGGCACAATGAATAAAAATGAGGTCATTCTTTTTTTTGGGGTGACAGTAGGTCAGTTGGTAGAGAGATGTTTTCAAATATTCATCTTGGTCTTTGGACCTAATGGTCGTGGGTTCGTATCCACCACGACCCACATCATCTGCTCCCACTGATGTCTGCTGTCGTTGTGTCCCTGGGAAAGACACTTAACCCCACATTGCCTGAAGCCCCTTGAAGAAGATGACATGTCTGGGATCGCGTCTTTAATTCAGACAGAAGACATGTTTTATTGTCGATGGTAGAGACAGCACGAACAACACGAATAATAGAATGCAAGTGTATTATACAGAGCGGAGGCATGGAGACCTCCAATCAGCAGCTGCCACGGTGCCATGTAGCTTGGCCTTCAGATAGACAAAACAAGGGAAAAGTACTGGCTTCTGCACATTGATAGAATGATGAGTTTAACTTTAACAAAAGTTGCTTCAAAGTGTTATGAAATCTCACACCCTCTAAAAGACCAAGGCCATGTCTTCGATCATGGATAAGCCATCTTCCCGTGGACCCACCACCTGCAGAGGATCAGAGGGATTGGTGCTGTAAGAGTTGGGCAGCTCTGACTGCCACCCCCCCGACCCAGATTTGGATTAATAAAGGGGTAGAAAATGACATGACATGTCATTCTTTTTTTTATCTATACGATGAAAAGTTTTTTTCCTAAAACAATTGTAATCCAGTGGACTGGGATGGCATGTGTTTTGTTTGCATGTTTTTGGGTTGCTGTGTTTTGTTTTTCTTTCATGCCTCCCAGTCACCTGGTTACCCCGCACACCTGCCTGCCCCAACTGATTGCTAATCAGTACGCCTGTGTCGGGGCAGTATAAAAGAGGCCATGCAGTGGAGAGGAAGGAGAGGACGGAGAGACGGAACTTGCGTGGCACCGGAGGAGGGGCGTGCAGCCTCGGAGGGGAAGCCCGGGAGAGGGACCAGCGCGCACCGGGCCAGCACCATAGCGCGCACGCTCTGGACCCCCGCACCATGTAGCCGACTACACTTAGAGGCAGGGCATTCTGACCCTGCCCTGCCGGTGAGTTTCGCTCCGGTGTAGTGGTGGTGTTAAAGGGGTTGAAGCATTGGGCTGCAGGAGGGACCCTGGGTGCTGTGCGTGGCTGGCCCATGTGTTTGCGCTGTGAGCAGGTGCGGCGCCAACGGCTGCGTGCGCGGGACCGGACTCCGTGGGAGTGCTGCCCTTCCTCCACCTCCCGGGGCGAGAGGATCGGACCCACATGGACCACCATCATTTCATCATTTTATCATTTTATAATTTTAACACTGTGTAATTACTATTTTATCCATTTTATATTGTATTAAACATTATTTTAATTCATTTTAACCTGTTTTTTTTGGAAACGCCCAGCTCTTTTAATCCATAAATTATTTTATTCGGCATTTAACCTTCCAGTTTTTAATCTACCTTTTTAATCCAATACCTTATTTCCCTCATTATCACACAATGACCCAGTTTCTCAAAATTGTAGGACACATCTTCAAACGGGTAAATTAGACAATCAAGCTTGGACTTTTTATCCTGCCATGATTGTTTGATTGTCAATCGGACGAGATGGTCTGAGACCTGAACTTGAACCTGTTGAGAGCTTACCCTGTAAAGCAAGGCAAGTTCAGAAAGGTGTATACCAAATAGTTTGTTCGTATCAGAAAGAATGCTTTAAAATCATAATTCTAAACCTTATATCCTCATACCTAATATACCTCATAAACTTAATTATGAATATAAAAAAAAAAAAAACAATTGTAAACCGCTTTGTGACTCGGTCACAAAGCGGTATATAAATAAAGATTAAAAAAGATTACTTACTTACTCCTCACCAATGCTTTCACGACAAAGCTCCGCAATAGGCATACGCATGCGCAACTATTTTAAAGGAATTTTATTTTAGATTTTGTTTTCGAATTGCAGTGATTCTATTTTTGACATAGAATTTAATGCCACTCCATGTCCGATGTCTAAGGTCATCTGGTGAGGCATTAATGCAGGCCAGGCAGTGAGACTTCCCAGGGACCTTTCCAGTCTGTATGAAAGGTGTCATGGTCTTCTCCACAGCCTTCACCTCAGATGCAGACCATGGCTTTCTTACACGTTCTAGGGAGAGAAATAAAAATATATTAGCAATATACACTCCCAGGGTGAGGACCAAGCAGCCTGGCTGTAATCCCCCACCTGGTACACTTACCAGAAGGGGCACTGCCACTACCATGGGGTGCATCTGGATGAATGGTTGAAGGTTCTCCGCTTGAAGTTTCTTTTAGCCCGTCCGTTTGTGAGAGGATCTCTACTGCTCTCCCTGTCGCACAGAAAATAAAAATACAAGTGGCCTTTAGGGGAAAAAAATCATACATATTTTAATAATATCAAGAATTACCTTCAGGCTCAATTTGTATCTGGTCGAGGCTCTTTCCTTCGAATTCCGTCACTCTTCCCTGCTCCATGGCCATCAACACTTTGCTGATTTTGGCCAGCTCCAGTGTCCCCTCTGGTAGTCTGTAATATTGCCTGTGGATGCGAATGTCATGGCCGAGGAAGTTGGCAAGTATGTCCATCTCATTCTCTTTCATATTGAGAACTGTAGACATAGTAGCTATGTGCTTTCTAAGTTTGGTTGAGGATAGCATCTCTGGATGCACCGCACCACATTCTTTGGCTACCTGGCGTAGGGAGTCTGATCCCCTGATGTGGGTGTCTGCGCCCGGGCGGGAAAAGAAGTATGGGTTATGGTCAGAGATGGAACAGGCCCTTCTGTTCTCCACCAGCACCTCCATCGAAGCAATCATTTCAGGAGTCAAAAGAACCGGCACTTTCCGACTTCTTTTCCCTTTAATTTCAATGCGTTGAAAATGCTGACACAGCTTTTTCTCAAGTTGGGACAGTCCCAGAGCAATGTCAGAATGGATCCCAGTCTTACTTCTTAAGGTAAAGGCTGTCAGTGGCATCTTTGAAACCTCACCTTCCCTTCTTCGATTGAAAATGATGACCTCACAAAGAGTCAAAACTGCCAGTTTAGACCAATGCTTAGACGTTGGCTCACTTATTAGGGTTTGCACATATTCAGGTCGACATACCTCAATATGTGCATGCATGGCTCTAACGTCCTCAGTCAGAGGGAGCAGGTCCGGAGTGTTCCACTTGGCTTGCCGGAGGGTCTGTAGGGCAGCAGAAGAAACACAGACGTCCCACCTCTTCTCAAAAAGCAGCCGGCTTCGTTGGAGGTTTTTAATAAATAGTTCATCAACACAATGCTCCATTTTTGAGTCACATTCAAGAATATCTGCTAGCTTTCTGAGGCTATGGCCGAGTTTGAGGGCCAAGGATGGAGTCTTGTATTGATTTGTTTCCTCATCATATCCAGCCACAGACCTGACTGCATCAATCACATGGTTAAAGTTGGAAGGAATAAAGAAATCCTTAATTGTTTTCAGTTTCCCTGCGGTTTTTGCTTCGTTAATTAACCTACCGACTTCTCTCATTTTCTGCCTAATGTAATCATGCTTTGTCTTATCATGCCCGTGTTTTAAGTACAGGTGCTCTCCGAGTCTCAGAATCCCCTTTTCTGCTTTGACAACACCCGTGACCTCATCCTGATGCATTGCCGAAATTAAAGACCACAGCTTTTTGCTGATGCCCTCCGGTACAGGCTGGGCTAGGGAGCAGAGGGACTGGACCCTACTTCTACCTGGTTTAGCCTGGGCATCTTTCTGTGAAAGCCGGCACCTGGCCACATGCCTCCACAGCGACTTTCGCTTAAGCAATGCCCCACAGTCTATACAGTGCAAAAACTCACTGGATTTAACTGGGGAATTTGGCTGTTTAGCTGGGACTAAAGTTCCAATGCCGGCCTTTAAAACCTCAAAATTGTGCTCACGGTTTCCACTATTCCTGATCAAATCAAACTGAAGTTTACGTGCTTTAGATTTCACAGGTAGAGCCAATGCTCTGGCTACGTCACTTTCATTTCCATGTTTTCTAGTCAAATGACGGGACATTTTGTGGCAGGACATTGAACAGTAGAGGCAGAAGTGTCTCTTGCTGTATACTCGCCCCCCATTTTTCTTCTTTTGCAGCTGCATGATAACAATCTTATTTGCCTTTGGTTCGTCACTTTCCGAGTCTTGAAGAAAAGTGTTTTTGATTTTTCTTTTTCCATACTTTTTTACAGGTTTCTTCTTGACAGTTAAATCGTCAGAATCTGAGTCGACTTCATCAATTAGGGACTCTTGACTAAGCTGCACAAACAACAAATAATTTGTAATCATTCTATATAACAATTTGAAGTCATGACTTGTAGTCAGCACTTACCAGTGGTTTGTAAGGTAGTACTAGAATTTTATTTTACCAATTGCAGTTTTTGTAAGGTTAGAGCCGTATAAACATTTTGGGAGAAAAAAGAAAACTGAAAAAAAAGAGAAACATGTAAATTATTTATTACACTTTTAGAAATCACCAGTTAAAAACATGCCACCCGACGTGTGACGTAGATGGTTGGCATCCCGCATTCGAACACGCGCCTACTCTGTGTACTGTACACTTACACAACCGCTTTTTTTTTTACTTTTCTTCGGCTTAACGATGGGGAAAACGTGTGTCGCTTACGGCTGTAGTAATGTAAACAAGGATGGCGTTTCATTACACAGCTTCCCAAATCCTACAACTGAAAAAGAGCGATTTGACGAGTGGAACAGACAAGTGAAACGGACGCGTCTTCATTGGACCGGCCCTCCGCTTCCCTATCTGTCTGCTGCGTGGAGATCCTGTGTTGTCTGCTCTGAGCACTTCACGTTGGACTCGTTTGAACACATTAATTCGGTGGCAGCGTCTTTGGGGTACAAGACACGGGCTACATTAAAACCTGATGCCATCCCAACAGTCTTCAAACGAAAGAAGCCGAGCGAGGCTTCCCCGACTCCCGCAAGGACGGACAGACGCACACTTCTGACCCACAAGCTCGAACACCGGAGGGTAAGTTATGCTTTTTTCATTGTTCATTTGTTTTAGTTAAAACCCGAACTTATAGGCTTATTTTAGGTAGCCACAAACACACAAAAACCATACTAAGTCTAGTTACTGTAGCCTGTCATAAGCTAACCGTGTACTAGCAACACGGTTAGCTAGCCGCTGTCACTATTCCTCGAAGCACGTCCATGTGTGCCTTGGGATTTTGTGACAATCCTACGTAGCCCCGGTCTAATCCAGGAATAAACTAGGACTGAGACTCTTACTAAAATCTAATTGCCTTGTTTTAAGAGTTTTAAATGGGTGTCCTTCTTATTGCTAGCTTGAAGATAAATATAGAACGTGGTAACAAGTTGTAACTTGTGTGTAGGCAGGCTATTGCTTGGTTTAGTCCTGGTTTGGACCTGGTTTAGTTCTGGTCTTAGTCAGGGTTTAGTCCGTTTTTTTCTCTGCTTTAGTTGGCTTAATTTTATTCTTGTTTTAGCTCTGGCTTTGTCTGATTTTAGTTATGGGTTTGTTCCTGGTTTAGTCTGTTGCTGTTTACCCACAATTTCAATGAATTCAGGAGTTTCTTAAAGAAATATTCTGTAAAATGTGCATTGTTTTTTTTAAATAAATAGTCTTTAAATAAGTCTTAAAGGACCTTGATGAAATCTGTAGAAACAAGAACAAGTGATTCACAATTGGCAAGTAATTTAGCTTATTAAATTCAGTTTTTTTGTGATATGGACAGGTGTTGATGAGATCAAATATGACAGGTTATTCTTTTCTTTATTGCAGATGATAAATTCTCTCCTTATTCCTGCCATGGACCCTGTGCATCCATCAACATCAGCGGGCTCCTCGAATGAAGATGATGGCATTGGCACCTTTACACCTTCACTTCAAGATCAATCCACACAAACCACATTCAGAAACAAGTCAACGTACAGGAGCAAAGGTATGTTGGTACAGTTTTATCCACATACATACACATATGTATATATATGTGTATGTATGTGTGTATATATATATTACTCATGTATTCAGCCATTTATTAATTAACTCAGCTAAACATTTTTATATTGATAGGAGTTTCAGTTCGACCCCGCCAGCGTTCCGTTTCCATACAGTGTACTCTACCATCCAAGAAGGCATGTAGCTCGGATTATCCAATTCATATTTTTGAAGTCCATGATGAGGATGAGGATTTCACCATAGAGGAAGCTGATGACCCTGATTACATCGCAGATGAGCAGGACATTATTGAAGAGTCAGAAAGGTATGTATTTTTGGAGGTGCGAAAAGTTGAATATTTCAGACACATTAACATTTTTTATATGTAATTTCCAGGATTGAATCATGGCAGCCGGGAGAAAAATTTTACTTGGTTTCAGAGAGCAGCCTTTTGTCACTTTTTAAGATGTGCCCACAATGCACGACAGAAACTGACTGTTCAATAAGCACTGTATCTGGAACAGCAATATCCATAAAGCAAGAATGCCAATCTGGCTTTTGTAGATTTGAGAGACTGTGGAACAGCCAGCCAATGTTGTCGCGAACACGAGTGGGAAACATATGCCTGAGTGCAGCAATTCTCTTTGCTGGCCTAGCCCCATCAAAGGCCCTTCGTATGCTGCACCACATGAATGTACAGTGCATCAGCTATGATACTTTCATGAAACATCAAGCCCAGTACCTACTTCCGTCAATCAATGAAGTATTTACGAATCATGAAGATGAACTGTTGCAAAAAGTGAAAGTGACAAATCAAAGTGGAATAGTTGCAAGTGGGGACGGAAGAGCAGACAGTCCAGGTACATGATTTGATGATCAATAAATCAAACTCTTTATGAAGTGATTTTCATACAAAATGCAACACAAAGTCCTTTACAAACATTAAAATCAAATACAAGCAAAACAGTTTACCTCACAAACACACTTTCACACACAAATTCACACACATACTCAGGCTCACATAGTGAAACGTCTAAAATTGAGTTTCAGTTAAATACAGCATTCATGGGTTCATCTCTCTCTGCTCAGCTTTACCACATTGTAGTTGTCCATGGATTATGTGATTTTGTAAAGTGTCATGTAATTTTGGCCTAGGGCACTCGGCAAAGTATGGTACATACACAGTAATGGAGAGGAAAAGCAAAACAATAATTGCTTCCCAGCTTGTACAGGTGACGGTTTATATTTCATAAATATGCATGCATGTAAAAAGTAAATATTTTATCTATGCTTTGTTTTTCAGTCAAATGAAGTCACCTCAAGCGTAGCTATGGAGAAAGAAGGTTTACTCCGAGCATTAGATCAGCTCAACAGAAATGACGTTGTCATCAAGGAGTTGGTTACAGATAGGCATCTATCAATTCGCAAAATGATGAGAGAAACAAAGCCTGATATAAAGCACAGTGTCGACGTCTGGCATCTTGACAAAGGTGTGTTATAGGTCATACTTGAATTTAATTTTTAAGTAGAATTAAGTAATGTTTATTGTGCTGTTTGCAGGTTTAGGAAAGAAGCTTCTTGCAGTCAGTAAAGAGAGAGACTGTGGTCTTGTCAGTGAATGGAAACAGTCCATCTCAAAGCACATCTATTGGTGTGCCAATAATGGGGATGGTAATCCTGATGTCAATGAAGCCATTTGGAGAGGTTTGGCCAACCATATAAAAGGTGTCCACGAACATGAGAGTCCACTATTTCCAACCTGTTTGCATGGTGAAATTGAGGAAAGAAAGTATTTTCAAAGCCGTGAGTATACCAAAATGAATATGTAAATTCTCAAATGTTGACTATTGTAATGATCATATTGCTTATGTACATTTCAGATAACGTGAAAAAAATGGTAAAATATATGTTAATAGTCAGTTTGTGGTTTCATTATATTATACTTCTATGTAGTGCTATAGATTAAATAAAAACTGAGAACAAATGAAGAGTTTAAATGCCACACTGGATATCTTTGTTCTAAGTAATGGCAGAGAGCATTGATATCTGTTTAGTATTATTATATGTCAATTATTATTGACATATTTAGTGGAATCTGAATCTGATTTAATCCGACATTTTGAATTATATTTCAACCTCAATCAAATACAATTCACTTTTTGAAAACAAAACATTACAAAGACTTGACTAGAAGCATCCAAAAATATGTTCAAATGACACTTATCTGCTTTTGCAAATAAGCTCTTCAAGAAATGCATAATCTTTCTTGTTTGCATCACCTGCTGAGCATGAGGTCTGTGGTGCACAGGATCTATTATAGGCACTATCTGGCGTTTACTCAATCTTCCTAAATCACTGACAGTCTGTTCCTTCACCTGTATTGTCTCTAACAAATTTTTAAATGCTTGGCTTTATCTTTTAGTGCATGCACCATCTTCTAGGATTCAGTTTAATTTGCAATGGTGTTGAAATTAATCTGTTTTGTTAAATATAGACTCAAAAGCCTACACTAGACTCATCGAGACAGTCTTCACCAACAATGTTATTAAAGACATAAGACAGCTGTCTCCCAATAGTGTCACATCAGGTGTCGAATCCTTTCACTCACTCCTCAATCACTTTGCCCCAAAGATGCTTCATTTCAGCTACCATGGTATTGAGGCAAGGTAAGCATTTATCTCCGTATTTTTTTTTTTTTTACCTATCATTATTTATTGTAATGAAAGCCCTTTTCTACCTCTTTTTTCATAGATATCGTCTGGCCATTTTGCACCACAATGAAAATGCAAACAGAAGTCAGGCAAAAACTAAGGATGGACAGGATAGATACAATTTGGTTTATCCGAAATTCAAGAAAGGGAGCCACACTCTATGCAAAATATTTGAGGGAGCCACTTACAGTAAGTTTTCAGCATTAACATCTAATACTTTACAACTCATTGTTGTTTGTATTCATGAAAGTTGTTATTTTACTTATAGACTACATTGATCCGTTGATGGCCTGTGTATGTAAGCGTCTACTGGCTGGCGAGAAGTACTTGGCTGAGAAGTCAAAACCACCGCCTCTGACCAGTCAATGCAATAAAGTCACAAAGGAAGATGCTATAAGACAGCACAAAACAAGATTCAAACTTAATTGAACATTGTGCAATAATAACACACTGATCTGAGTGAACAAAACATCTTTAATTGTAATAAAACAAATGTTTATACAACTGAAACATTTCCTATTTATTTAGTTACTATTCTAACTAATTTAAGGTTGGTAATTTAAAGCCCCTATATGTGCCACCTGCATCAGGATAAGTATCTCTTATTCGGACCAGAACACACGAGGGTAATGGCACCCTTTTCTTTTTCCCCAAAGTCCCGTAGCACCACTGGACAAATCTCCGATATCCTGTGTACCTGAATTTCCTGAAATTGAAAATGAATCCTCTATTAGCCAAAAGTCATTTGTAGAATTTTTTGTAAAATCTCAATTGCTTCCTTACGCTTCATTTGACAGATCGGGTTCTATGTACCCATCAGCTTTCAGGTACATATATGCCATCTCCAGTGACCACGGGTCTAAGCAAATGGACTCAAACCCCTCATGCTCTGTGATGCAGGATACGTCCTGTCCATTTTCTGAATTGTATTCCTCCATCCTTGCAAAAACTGCGTTTTTCTCCTGACAGCAATAACACTCTTCAACCTGAGACATGATTGCACATTTTTCGCACTGACACCTGTAAATTAAATCAATAGATAGTTTATCTATATGACTTATATTCTATGGTAACATGAAATTTATATCAAGCTTGATGTAGCCTAATGTTTCAATAATTTATATCATCATCATTATAAAATATAATAACAAACATTTGAATTCTGGTATAAGACCTTTACACAGTCCATAAAAATAGTTCAATAGTTTTCAATCTCACCAGTTTTTGTTTCCCACTCTGTGAATTTCCTCATTTTCTGAATCTGTCTCTCCTTCATTATTCCCATCAAGGGGCTGTGGTGTTGCTAGTGGCTCAAATGAGTAAGGATCAAGCTGTTGAAAATGTTCAGAATCAGATCCAAATTCAGGATCACTTCGGTCTTCAGAAACAGGACTGTGGCCACTTCCTACAGAGTCAAAACAAAAATGTCATAGTAATGATTGCAATAAGTTACAATAACGTGCTGTACAATAAAAATAAGTTGAATAAAATAAATATTGTACTTTTATGAACATACTATATGAACAAAAAGCTGCTGAAGTTGTAAAAAGACAAAAGAGCTAACATGATAACTACATGTAATGCAATCATTGATTTTTTTTATTTTATTAAACCGTTAATAGGATTTAGCATTTATGGATATTACAATGTACATTGTGGTAAATAAATCTAAGGCAACCAAAGTGAGAATGGCATAATGTGAAAACGAATATTAGCCTTGTTAGCATGTTTTATGATATCAAGTAGAGTTAGCTAACTTGCCTAACACTAGGGACCATTAGGCCAAGTTATTAGCTTGAATCTCACAAATAAGGCTAAAAGGTTAAAAGAGTTGCACACTATTATGTACAAAACTGATGAAAATATGTTTATACCTTGATCAGATGACAGTGAAACCTCCGAGTCTTCCCCAAATTCAACATCAATTAACTCGCTGTTCCTACAGATTCCAGTCATGACGGCTGTGAGATCCCCTTCTCATACGTCATCGCCGCCATTTTGGCCCCCCCTAGCGTTTCAATGCGGAAGTGAAAAAGTGCAACTTGGAAGCCGTTTTTTTAACAGAATTCATCTGAACATGTCAAAATGAACACCCGAAATATTACAAACACATATAGTAGTTATATATTCTGGATAGCAGCAACTTAAATTCTAGTACTACTTTAACATGAGAGATGGAGGACTCCTGTGTCAATGCGCCATCTCGAAATACAGTGGTTGATAAGGGACAAAAATTAGTTTGAGCGGGAGTTGGGGACCACTGTCAAAGATGACATAATGTCCTGCAAAGCTATCGTAGTACCCTAAAATACAATATATGATCTCAATGCTATATGGGAATAAAAACACAGTGTACTTAAAAAAAAAAAAAAAAAAAGTTCAGTGCTGGTGGAGGACCTTTTTGCTATGTACTGTACAGAATTGCAGATGAGAAAAACGGCCAATCCCTTATGTGTCTGTGGGTTTGTTTCATGCTACAGTGAAAAATAGATTATTTTCCTGCCTGCCCCATGAGAAAAAACTAGATCAATAATCTTAGTCCCGAACCTGTAGGCCTGTAGAATATCAGAACATGTTTCCCTACACTAGTAGCGATCCATGTGTGAATGTTGTGGCTGTGTCTAGTGGCCTGGCGCTCTGTTGAAAGCCCATTTCACGGCTGTGGCTCGGTTGTAATTGTGTGCAGCGTTCCAGTGTGCCCTGATTAGCCCTGTGCTCCGGTCGTCTAACGGTGACACTAATGGTCCTGCTCCGACTTAAAGAGCTTTTCATGAAATATTTCGCCTCCATCTGGTGACAGTTAACCCCAGCACTCCCATCAGTGGGACTTTCTCTTACCAACAGCCTTTTGAAATGGAAATTACTGACTTTTTCTAATAGATGTTAAAAGTGAGTATAAGGTATTATCTAGTTTTAATCAACCAGGAAACCACTGAGATTACAGTCCCATTTTTGGGGAATCAAACCCCAGACGTCTGATTGTGGGGGAGCTGTTGCACATCTTTTTAAGGGTAGGAGAAACCAAAACCAGAGCGCCTGGAGGAAACCTCTACAAACACTGGAAGAATATGCAAACTCCACTCAGAAAGGCCCTGTGCCGACTATAATTGTAACTCACCAATGTTTTCCATTATTAGCATTTTCAGACACATAATTTGTATTTTAAGTATAATGGTAGTCATGCAAAGCTAAAGAAGTAACCTTTTTTGTCACTGGCATTGACATGTAACTCTATACATGAATTCTTGAATATTTATACACGATTGGGTTGTTTGACCCCTTCATTCAGGTCCCAGTTTGGATGTCAATATAGAGCAGAACTTCTGTATTGATTTTGATTCACATTGAATATTCATAATTTAGAAGAATTTCTATTGCTTGTATTTGACAATTCGAGTAAATAAAAAGAGTATTGTTTGCATTATAACACTTTAGTATTGTCTTTGATTTTAATATTTTCCTGTTCATGAAATTTAGCTTTTGATTTTGAGCCGTTGAGTCGTTGGAACAGTGCGTTGTTTGGTCTGAGCTCGAACGTGCAGCTCGTTCTTCTGAATGCGCACACGTTTCTGTCAGCGCAGCGTTGAGTGAGCGCCGTCGCCCCGTGTTTATCTTATTAATTATCCCAGTGATCCAGAAACACTCTCCCCGGTAAATAGAATAACACAGAGAAGGTTAGCCGGGGGGGAAGGGGCCGACACAGGGCCGGTATTTTTCAGTTTGCTTCGAGTCGTTGGGAGCAGAGTGACGAACGCCTCAGAGGAAACCCGACTCTGGGCCGTCTTCCTGCCGAATTCAGAGCCTCTGTGATCAGCTGTCGATAAGGAGCCTCACACTCACTTCTAGTCTAACACACTGGGATATTGTGTGTAATGTAAGGTTTTTCTTTTCCTTGTTCAGTTTTCCAGAATGACTGACCAAATTGTAAGCTAGTAGAATAGTTTCACTGGTATTGTCTGGTGTAGTTTATAATTCTTGTCAGTAAATATCAGATATTCTTCCTGCACATAAGTCAAAGTTGTTTGAAAGTTTTATCTATTATACTTCTACAAATGAGAAGTATTACTGGCAGTGTTCATGTCTGCTCTGACCACCACCACCGGTATCACCTCACTTTTTCTTAACCCATGATACTGTTTATCATAGTATTCATTATTTTCGATGAATACTATTGAGTATTTTTCAGTGGGAAATTGGGTTTTGCTTTTGGTAAATCTGCTTTTACTACCATACAATAATATTCAATCGCTTAGTTGATCAGATGAAGTTTATTTATTTTTTTATTTATTGAGGATGGCCCCTTGAGATGAATCATCTCTTTTTCGAGGGGGTCTTCATGATCCGTTTGCTCTGTCGGTTATAAAACAAAAATTACATACACTAACACTAAGACAGACACGACAATAAGCACATACAGTACATAAGGACAGAAATAAAATAAAATAAAATAAAAATAAATAAAAACATTGTTTGCTTGTCCCCACCATGCCCATCTCAAACCCTAGTCCACATCCGCTCCTACAGTGACTTTGGTCATAGATTATCACTTTAGTGGCCACATACAGAAGCACTTAGTCTCCTTTTAAATCCAGAATGTACAAGAAGATCCGCTGGAATAATGTTTTCTCCCAGTCCCAACATTACTTTGAACTTTAAAATAGTATTTAGCCAAAGCATCTCTTGTGGCTAAATTTATTTCACAGATGGATGAAAGGATTCAGGTCATGAATCCTACACTCCCTTCTTGAAAACCTTGAGACATGTTGAACGCATCACCATGAAAAGATGATTTGGACTTTTATGGAGAGGGATCTATCGAAGCCATTTTGACAGATTCTTGATCCGTCTCATTTTTGTTGTTTAAAAGGCCCGGTCAGCCCAGGTATGTTTTTCATCTCTCACATAATATCAGCAAGTTTCAGACTGAGGCAATGCAGAGCCAAACTCAAAACAGGCCGACCGTGTTTTGAAAGCTGCTTTTATGAATCCTATCCAACCATTTCCAATACATCCACTCCCCTGTGCGAGGCTACGTCTCTGTCCGCCGGTCCATAGTTCAAAGCCTTACATGGAGAGCCGGCAGCGCATGCAGAAGAATGACATTACCCTTTTTGACTGCTCCTTCGGGCTGGGGTTCAAACGTGCTGCAAGAAATGTGGTCTGCATTAACCGGTCGAAGCGGGTCAAAGGACAGAGAGGAGTTATGGCAGGGTCTCAATTATTTGGAAATAACCTGCACCTTGCAATTATTTTAACCCAGAATCTCCTTGGAATCATACTTTTTACTACTTACTATTAGGGTTTAAAGAGAGAGAGTGGTGGACTGTAGGAGTGTGACGATAAATCGATATTTCGATATATCGCGACACTTTCTCCCACGATCAATTATCGATATGCAATTGCCAAGAATCAATTTTTTTATTTTTTTTATTTGTATCAATAGTTGATTTATGGCTACATTACATATCTCCATTCCATTTATCATAAAATAAAGTGTATTTTTTCACTTAACATTTTTCTATTTTATGTATGGTATATTTCAGACCAATATATTGATAATCGTCATATTGTGATATAATCGTTATCGTGATATAATCTATAGGTATGAGCTTTAACTTTGACTGGTAATTTCACTTGCTGAAAGGCTGTAGTAAGTAATCTGATCGGAATTCCCGTGAATATTTTTGACACATTCAAATTTACTTTCTGCGCAGCCTGCGTCAAGGCTGCCCCGGCCCCTCCTCAGTGTCTGCAACAGCTTGTCCTCATCGGGTCCTATCTGATCCGGCTCCGTCCTGGATCCGGGACACACCCCTGGGGAAGCTGACGAGAAGCACAGCAGCTGGAGTGGTGGCAAACCCTCCAGTCTGAATGACCTGCACCAAGAGAAACGTGTTAGAATTGAAGTAAAGCGGCAAAAGCTTGTGTTCAAGTTCTAGACTTGTATTTTAGATGAAGGTACCAATACAGCTCTATGGGAAAGACATTTTTGAAAGAAAAGGTTGAAAATGTCCAACTTTTTCCATTATTTGATTGTGATTAGATTCACAAACCCACATTATATGGCTGAAAATCCTTTCTACTGGCACATGTTTTATAAAATATTGTCACCACTTCTAGAAACCTTTCTGAGATAATAAGACCACAGTTGATATGTTGAGTATGTACTGACAAAAAAAAGAGTGTGGATCGGACCAAGAATTACAGATAAATAAGATATAAACTAATTAGCTGTGCTCCAACATGATTTTCTTATTTATTCTTTTTATAGTCACATGAACACAAACTTTGGCTTGTTTTAAAGGGATGGCAATTGCGAAAAATGTTCTCTTATTTGCTCACACAGAAGTTGTTTTTATAGGGATTCATTTCTTTTCTCTAGATTCATTCTCTGATACTTATATTGACTGCTACTGTCTTAGCCTGGTCGTACCACACCTTAGTACAAATTTCATTTAATACTAAGGTCTGGATTTGCTCTATTGAGCTCCGTGAACAGGTGGGAGGGGTTAACTCCTTTTGCAGATTGAAACGATTGGATCCGAGTTTACCGTGACGTATGTAATGCGCCCGAGTCTGTTGTTAGCATTTAGCATTTAGCCTAGCCATCTCCTTTGCTGCTAACGGAGCCCGTGGGGAGTAGCGCCACAATCTTGACCAGCGATTACATTTGCTAAACATTCCTCTTGCTCCTGCGTCAATTTCTTGACAGATACAGACCGGATTACTTTACTATTGCATTCTTCGCCATTGCCAAACTACAACCTGCCTGTTTGGCGCAAACTCTTGACGTCACCGGCACCGACCTACAACACCCGCCTCCCGCGCTCTCTGAGTAGCCGGTTGAAATACGACCGATTGTATTCGCTAACACAGGGACCAGACCCAGACGTTACATGCAGTGAAATTATGATTGAGCGGAGTGTACGGATGGCTATGGCCAGGCTACTACTGTCTTAACTTTTTTACTTTTTTTAATTCTGAAACATTTTGTGGGGCACAAGATCTGCTGCTTTGTGGACACTTTGTTGTGGTAGTATTCAGATAAAGTGTCATACTATTACGGGAAGGTGGTCAACTGCTCCTCAGTTTTTCAGGTGAAGGCTGACCTTATTCAAAATGAAAGAGAAACTACTGTGTGTATCTTGTGATAAAGTCCAAATTCCAACGTTTTATTTTACTATGTCAAAAACATTACTAGTAGTTTTAGGTCTCTACTTTTCTTGCATGATCATTTTAATTTCATAGAAGACATTCTTTTAAAATATTTATTAGAGGTGCAACGGTTCATCACTGATCCGTGATCCGTTCGGTTCAACGTCTTCGGTTCGGTACAGACGTGATCCGCGGTTTGATTTATGAAAAAAAAGTTGTGCGCACGTTGTTCAGTCCACACACAGCGCGGTCATTGCGAGCGGAGGAACGGAGATGCTTGAAAGCCCTGCGTCATTTAAATCCCCAGTATGAGAGCATTTTGGCTTCACTGTAACTACACTGATGATTAATATTCGACAAAACTGTCACGATGTGTAAGCACTGGCACAAGAAAGACATGAGTGAAAAAAGCGTCTCAACGACCACCTATTGTCGCGGCATTTAAGCAGCTCCTTTACACAGCACAGTCAGACCGGGCTAAAGTCAACTCTCCCGCGCATCCTCAGCTGCGCTCACGACTGACGCTTGGACGTCCCGCGGAACCTATAATAGATCCATGAGCAGAACCGCTCACTTCATCACCGCAGACTGGGAGATGAAAAGTCTGGCGCTGAAGACACGCCCCCTCTACGACAGTCACACAGCGCAGGTACTGACACAAGCAGCGGAGGAATGGAAGACAAAGGCCCAGTACTAATATCCCAGTCACAACTGATAATGCCAAAAATTAAATAAATGCAGTGAATGAGGCTGGGCCCAGAATGGACCCCCTCCTTGGGAGAATCAGAAAGGTGGTGTAATATATGAGGGTAAATATCCTCATAAAGTGCCTTCTTATGTTGCACTTTGTGTTGTTTTTCATTAATTATGTTAAATAGACATAATTGGATGGATGGAATATGCCTTCCATCCATCCATCCATTTCCTTCCCCTTAATTCATTTCTAGGTCAGGGGGGGCAGTCAGAGCAGGTGCCGAGTCCACATGAGCTGTGTTTATTAAAAAGACAAAACTTTTTTTTAGAAAAATGAACCGAAAAATGAACCGAACCGTGGCCTCTGAACCGAGGTACGAACCGAACCGTGATTTTTTCAAACCGTTGCACCCCTAATATTTATATATTTTTATTACAATATCATTTTGTCCCCCCATAATCAAGCAGTCCTAATGGTTTTCCTAAACTACGATAATAAAAAATAAGTTGTAGTGGTATTAAACAATGAGTATACAGGCATCAATACAAAGCTAAAATAAGAAATTCCAAATCTGTATCTCGCGGTTAGAGGGTTTGGGTTCGCATGTGGCTCAAAAATGTTGTTATTAAAAACATTATTGTTATGTTAGGGCTCACACTGACATCCTCCTCGGCTCTGGTTTAAAATCCCCCGGATCACACTCACCGAGGGGAATGATCTGCCCTGTGCCCCGTGTGTGGCACATACAGAGGCCCGTGACATCTGTAATGGATTTGAAGGAGACTGGAAAGTTTGGCTTTGACAGCGCTGTCAGATTTAATCAATGAAATACCCTGCTTTGAATGAGTGTACCTTTGTGCTAGTGTTACAGTGAAACATTTGTTAGTGTTCAGATTATTTGAAATGTATATACTACGTTCAATAATAGATTTACTAACTAATTCAAATAAATGTATTGATCCCCAAGCACAATCTATTAGTATCTGCACTTTGAACTCACTCATCAATAAAAATAATAACAAGTCAAACATAGAAAAATATTAGGCCATTAATAACAAGAAGAATGTAAAAACATAGTTTTGAGGGAAGAAGAAAGGTTCTCTTATTTTTTTTATTAGTGCAGTGTCAAATTTGCTTCTGTCGAAATAATTGACATATTAGTAAAATGTATAAAGCAGACTGTCTTCTGTGCCTTGAAAATGTAAAACCCCTGCCTTTGTGTTTTTCAGCACGGTTCGACCTTTTCGGTTTCCCAAAAGGTAAGAAATGCCCCACTCCACTCCACACTGCTGTGTGTGTATAATTATATGTTCCTGCTAATTTATAAAAATGGAAAGCTCTATATATATATATACAGTACCGTTCAAAAGTTTGGGGTCATATTGAAATGTCCTTAATTTTGAAGGAAAAGCACTGTAGATAACTTTAAACTAGTCTTAACTGTAAAGAAATACACTCTATACATTGCTTATGTGGTAAATGACTATTCTAGCTGCAAATGTCTGGTTTTTGGTGCAATGTTGTAATTGCTGCAAATGGAGGATTCTTTGACGAAAGCAAAGTTGGATGTAAAACAAATCTTATTTCAAATACAAATCATTATTTCTAACCTTGTCAATGTCTTGACTCTATTTTCAATTCATTTCACAACGTATGGTGGTGAATAAGTGTGACTTTTCATGGAAAACACTTGGGTGACCCCAAACTTTTGAACGGTAGTGTATATATATATATTATATATGGGGCGATAGTAGCTCAGTTGGTAGAGCATTGGCCTTTAGGCCTGAAGGTGGTGGGTTTGAGCCCAAGACCTACTTCACGACTCCCACTGATGACAGCTGTTGTTGTGTCCTTGGGCAAGACACTGTACCCCACTTTGCCTTAAGCCCCCGCTGAAAGATCTCAGATCCTGTGGACTCACCACCTGCAGGAGGATCAGTGAGGGGCTGGTGCTCTGTGTACTGGGTGCAGCTATGACTGCCACCCCCCAACCCAGAAATGGATTAAGGGGAAGAAGATGGATGGATGGAAAGCTCTATACTAATAGAATGTGGCACAAAATACGTCGATCTCCACTACAATCGTGTATTTGCATTGTTGCACGGCGAAAGCCCTTTAAACCATTTTCCTTGTAGTTACTTACTGTATGTAACTTTTGTCCAGGACTCGCTTGAAAAAACGTTCTTAATCTCAATGGGACTTTCCTGGTTAAATAAATGTTAAATACATTTTTATATATTTTTTTTATTTTCTTTTTCATGTACATTGAATAGCTCTTGTTCTCTAAGGCATAGATACAGCTGTAATGTTGCTTGCTGGATTCCTAACCGCCCTGTCTCTTGCAGTTACGCAGAGCTGATTGCTGATTGGCCGGTGGTGGTTCTGGGGGTGTGTACAGTGCTCATTGTGGTCTGTGCTCTGGTGGGGATCCTGGTTCCAGACCTGCCGGACTTCTCTGACCCCCTGCTGGTAAGATGTATTACATCTTGGGAGATTTTTGGCATTATTTTTTCAAGAAGTAATTACTTAGACTGCGACACAGCAAGCACTTGAAATAATAAATGTGTTCTGCCATTTACTTACCCAAGACATTCTTTTAGGCATGGACATTCATTTGTTGTATTGTGTGACATGAGCACTTGAAACTTGTCCCTAATAAATAAACATATCAAATATATAGTATAGACTGCAAAGAGGAAAGGTAACCTTTTAACATATCTTAAAAATCCTTTATTGTAGAAGGGACATAGCTCAGTTGGTAGAGCACTGGTCTTTGGACCTAATGGTCGTGGGTTCGAGCCCTCCACGACCCATGTCACCTGCTCCCACTGATGTCTACTGTCGTTGTAGACGCAAGACACTTAACCCCACATTGCCTGAAGCCCCCGCTGAAAGACCAAGGCCGTCTACTCATTGACAGAGAAGCCATCTTCCCGTGGACCACCACCTGCAGGAGGATCAGCGAGGGACTGGTGCTATGAGACTTGGGCAGCTCTGATTGCCACCCCCCCGACCCAGAAATGGATTAATTAAGGGGAAGAAAATTACATGATGACACCATGATCTTTAGTTCAAGCCAATAACATTTCACTTTTAACAACATGAATTACATCTCATATTACTATTATCAGATTTTTACCTACTATAGTTTACGATATCGATAGTAAACTATTTATATTTTCCTCTGTATTTGTGTGCAGGGCTTCGAGCCTCGGGGGACGGAAATCGGACAGAGGCTGGTCACATGGAACAACATGGTGAAAAACACGGGCTACAAAGCCACGCTGGCCAACTACCCGTACAAGTACGCCGATGAGCAGGCCAAAAGGTAAGGATGCTGTGAAATGACATGTGAGAGAACTTTGCTGATACCACTCTGGAAATAATTTGTATTTATTTCACAAAAGGCTAGAAAACATTAATTCCCCTTAAAAGATGGGAAAAAAGCTTTTAGGGTATGAGAACTTATACCGTGTCTATTTCTTGCCTGTCTGAAAATGGTACATTCCTTTCAAAAAAAGCAAAAAAATTGGTCTTTCTCTACAATATATGTATTTTAAAAACATTGTATTTGTATTGAGATAACCCATGTATTTTTTTACGGGATGGTTAAAAAGAAATGCAAAGAAAGATAAATACTACTTTCTGTCTGTATATTTGAAGTTATCCTTTGAACAACTACAACATTGACAATTAAAACAGTCGCTTATACTTTTAAACTTAATTTTACATTTGTTCTTAATAAGTCATAAGGAAGACTAATGTCATTGTGGGACAGTTGACTTATGTGTGTAATGATACATGAATACAATTAAGAATGACAGGCTCTTTGTGAGGAGGATTGTGGAATAGGAATCTACAATAGTGCGTCTGTTTGAGGATCCTGAGTAGACAGAAAGGACAAAGGCAGAGGGATTTGGGCCTGTGACGACGGACAGCACTGACAGATCTGCTGAAAGCCTCTGGATCCTGAGATGTCTGCGCATTGTCTGCTTTTTGCAAGATCTTAAGCAAACGCAATGCATTTTCATCAGCTCAAAGTTGGAAATGGTGTAGAAGGTATCGAAGGCCACATTGGATTACCCATTGGATTAATTTGATGTGAAACAGACAAAAGGTGGACCCCTAAAACTGTACAAGAGATAAAAGGCAACTAAAACTAATTACAGAAATCTAAATGAATATAGATGTAGGGAAACATTGATTTAGCCAAGATTCAGGAGCTCATGAAGCAATTCTGACTGAAATTGCTACATATGAAATCCCCTACGGAATTTCCTTAAAAAATAGATATTAAAGTGATTGTCTGGAGTTTGTCAGAGAAAAGAGAGAGAGGTACATGATTTGAAAAAAAACGACCCAAGCTCCCTCCCCCTTCCTTTCTGATTGATCTACGCCTAATGTTAATGTTAAATGTTAATCGGAAAACACATTATACTTATACATTATTAATACACATGCACAGAGGTTTTCAGAATTTTTTGTCAATGTTTTCATGACAAAAATAATGTTTTAATGCGAATAAAAGTGATCGCGTTAAACCCGGAAGTAGCTAATAACTTGAATTTAACATTATAGGACACATCTGCAGAGGATCTGATTGGTTCAGTATATAAATGATTATGGATATAGGTTCAGTATATAAATGATTATGGATATAGGTTCAGTATATAAATGATTATGGATATAGGTTCAGTATATAAATGATTATGGATATAGGTTCAGTATATAAATGATTATGGATATAGGTTCAGAATATAAATGGGTAACTCAGCGCGGATGTTCAGAATTCTTTGTACAGTTTTCATGTTGTTCCAGAGCCGAATAAAAGACCTACTTCTTCTTGTGCATCTCCAAATCTCCTGCGGCCGGTGGATGTAGAGTATAAGAATGTTCATTGTATATTGATTAGTATGAGACTTGAGTATGTAAAAAAACACTAGAACTGAGGGACTGCTGTATAGAAGTTTTCACAACCAGGCATCATGTGTTGGAAAATTGTGTTAATGGAGCTAAAAAATGTTGAGTAATTTGTCTGTCCTTGGCACATTTATCTAAGGCCCCATTTTGCAGACCTAATACCATTTATGTGGTGAGTCAGTGTTGTTTTGGGAGGGACGTGGTCATTACATCAGGACTAAAATCCAAATAACCCTCTTTCAGTTAGACATTGCATTTGGCCAAAGCCGTTACCGAGTTTGAGGTGTTGACATTATGTTTTCCAGAAGTATATTTGACATAAACTGTTGTATAGCTTCATGAGGTGTGTGTTTGCAGTCACCAGGAGCCCCGCTGGTCTGAGGACCGTTACGGCCGCGACAAGAGACAAGCAGAGTGGGACTTCAGTAAAGACTACTTCTGCGACGTTCCAGGTACAGAATGTGATTCGTCAGCTCTAAACTACTACACTTTGCTGTTGTATAGCTTTTCATTAAAGCTGTGAGGATGTAATGTGCCTTTATCTTACACCAGTTGTTGTTTTCACAGGCGACCGTTACTCCAGACTAGTGTTTTCATCAGCGGAGGGGAAGAACCTGTGGAATACTCAGGCCATCAAGTCCATGTGTCACCTGGACAACACTAGAGTAAGCTGCCACAACAAAGGGGCGGGCACTATTGTCAAAAAATAAATGTTTGGTTTTTTTCTCAATAATGTTAATGAGACAATATTGTAGAAATCCATCAGAATTGTGCTAAAACATGATTAGACTTAATTAGGTTGAAAAACTTAAGACTAACACACACTTATGTCCCAAATAATTGTAATGCTAAACTTTGTCCTCATTTACTCATCAACAATTTCATGACACTGTTTGCCTTCACATTTTCCTGTTAAGTTGTAGTGTTCATAAAGACTCCTGTGTTTGTCCAGGTGAGGTCGCACAGAGACTATTGGAGTCTGTGTCAGCGCACTAATGACGCCTCCTGCTGCCCCAGCTGGACTCTGGGGAACTATGTGGCTGTGCTAACGAACCAGACGTCCTGTTTGGAGATTTCAGACCGAAATGTGTCCCACACATTGAAGATCCTCCGCTCTTGTGCCAAATACTACCACAACGGCACGCTGGGGCCAGACTGCTGGGACATGGCCCTGCGGCGCAAAGATCGGAAATGTGCCAATGTGCCACGGAAGTGCACAAAGTTCAACGCTGTGTACCAGATCCTGCACTTTCTGGTGGACAAGGACTTCCTCAGCCCCAAGAGCCTGGACCACCCCCCTCCAGTGCTCAAATACAGCATGCTGTTCTCCCCCACAGAGAAAGGAGAGTCCATGATGAACATTTACCTTGACAATTTTGAAAACTGGAATGCCTCAGATGGCATCACCACGGTTACAGGGATTGAGTTTGGTATCAAGCACGACTTATTCCAGGACTACCTGCTCACGGACACAGTTTACCCGGCCATTGCCATAGTGATCGTGCTTTTTGTGATGTGTTTGTACACGCGGTCAGTGTTCATCACACTCATGACCATCATTGCCATCATCAGCTCGCTCATCGTCTCTTACTTCCTGTATCGCCTCGTCTTTAACTTTGAGTTCTTTCCCTTCATGAATCTCACGGCGCTCATTATCCTAGTGGGAATCGGAGCTGACGATGCCTTTGTTCTGTGTGACGTGTGGAACTACACAAAGTTTGATAAGCCTCACGCAGACCTCTCAGAGAAGGTCAGTATTACACTGCAGCACGCTGCACTCTCCATGTTCGTCACCAGTTTCACCACAGCTGCTGCTTTCTACGCAAACTATGTGAGTAACATCACAGCCATCCGCTGCTTTGGAGTTTACGCTGGCACTGCCATCTTAGTCAACTACATTTTGATGGTGACGTGGCTGCCTGCGGTTGTGGTGCTGAATGAGCGTTATTTGCCCAATCTATTTTCCTGCTCCAATCCTCCTCACCATCAGAGGGCAGACTGTGTCACAGTGTGGGCTAAACTGTGTCAAAAGGTCAGTAAGTGCCTGTTCATGCTGTCCGAGGCCTCGCGCATATTCTTCGAGAAGGTTCTGCCGTATATCGTCATTAACCTGCGCTACCTGTGGCTGCTGTGGTTCCTGGCTCTTACAGTGGGCGGGGCTTATGTGGTGTGTGTCAACCCAAAGATGAAGCTGCCTTCTCTGGAGCTGGCCGAGTTTCAAGTGTTCCGCTCGTCTCACCCTTTTGAGCGCTACGACGTGGAGTACAAGAAGCTTTTTATGTTTGAGAGAGTGCACCATGGGGAGGACCTGCACATGCCCATCACCATCATCTGGGGCGTGACCCCGGTGGACAAAGGTGACCCCCTCAACCCCAAAAACAAGGGCAAGCTGATGCTGGACGATAGCTTCAACATCGCCAGTCCAGCCGCACAGCTCTGGATCCTCAACTTCTGCCAAAAACTCCGCAACCAGAGCTTTGTGTTTCAGTCTGAGGGACAGGACTTCACAAGCTGCTTCATCGAGACATTCAAACAGGTCAGTTGGGAAAAGAAAAGTTCATTATTTAAAATCTTCTGTTTGAGCCATTACCTGGTATTGTTTTTAGCTCCATGCACCCTCATGTCGAACAGGCCTGAATGCATCCGTTACTTTCTAAGTCTCCAGACAGTGAATCCGGAATATAAAACTAATGCACTCTAAACAATTGTACTTCTTTAGATTAGAGAACAAAGTATGTAATGTAATTTATTGGTTACATTTTTAGCTAAACTGTGAAGTTTTCTGTACTGTGTTTTTTTCAGTGGATGGAGAACCATGACTGTGAGGAGGCCTCTGTGTACCCCTGCTGCAGTCAGTCCACATTTCCTTACAAGCAGGATGTCTTTGAGCTCTGCATGAAGAGGGCCATCATGGAACTGGACCGCACCACAAACTACCACCTGGCCCGCAAGACGCCCGGCCCACGGTTTGACATCAATGACACCATTCGAGCCATCGTCCTGGAGTTTCAGAGCACCTACCTCTTCACACTAGCTTATGAGAAGATGTGCCAATTTTATCAAGAGGTCAGAAAAGATTACAGTTCACTGAAATACCATAGATAAAGCTGACATAAAACAATACTTGCTTTGACTAATTGCTTTGACTAATCCCTGTACGACTGAGAGCTTACACAAACATAAAACAATACTCACACATTGATACAATAAAGAAATGCAGTTCATCTTTATTTCAGTGCTTTTTTCTCTGGTGTTCTAGGTGGACGCATGGATCATGGAGGAGCTCCGCTCGGCCCCTGCAGGCTTAAGTCACGGCTGGTTCATCAGTAACCTGGAGTTCTACGACCTGCAGGACAGCCTCTCAGGCGGCACTTTGGTTGCTATGGCGTTGTCTGTTGCAGTGGCGTTTAGCGTGATGTTGTTGACAACGTGGAACATCATCATCAGCCTCTACGCCATCCTGTCTATCGCAGGGACCATCTTTGTGACCGTGGGCTCTCTGGTGCTGCTGGGCTGGGAGCTGAACGTGCTGGAGTCCGTCACCATCTCTGTGGCCGTGGGTTTGTCTGTGGACTTTGCTGTTCACTACGGAGTGGCATATCGTCTGGCTCCTGAGCCCGACCGTGAAGGAAAGGTGGTCTTCTCACTGTCCCGCATGGGCTCTGCTATTGCCATGGCAGCACTCACCACCTTTGTGGCGGGGGCCATGATGATGCCGTCCACAGTGCTGGCCTACACTCAGCTGGGCACCTTCATGATGCTCATCATGTGCATCAGCTGGGCCTTCGCCACCTTCTTCTTCCAGTGTTTGTGCCGCTGCCTCGGCCCCCAGGGCTCCTGCGGACAGATCCCCCTCCCTCGCTGCCTGCGCCTCCACACGCTCCCCCCTCCAGTGCCCGACAAATACCAGCTGGACCCCAGTGTCCCGGCAGAGCACCACGAGCTCGAGCCACTTGCCTCAGGACCTAAAGAAAAGCTCCAAGACCCCCAGTCTAATGGGTCCTCTCCAAGCAGCAGCTCCTACTACAGCACACCGCCCACCTGCCAGTACTGCTCCTGTGGAGAACGGACCCCCTGGACCCTCCAAACAGACCAGGACCCTCTTTATACTCAGTATGTCCAGTGTTCTCCCACCTCCCAGAAACCCCAGGGGCCAACAGGCTGCCCCAATAGAAACCACTGCACCCCGCCAAAGCACCAGCCCCTGTCCACACCCCAGGACTCTCAGTGCACACCCCAGGACCCTCAGTGCACACCCCAGGACCTTCAGTGCACACCCCAGGACCCTCAGTGCGGCTCCCCCTCACACACACCCCTGGACAGTGGGCAGAGCAGTAAACGGACGAGTGTCCACAGTTCATCTCTGGAGTCGCTTCGCTGTCAGAGCAGGACTGAGAACAAGTGCAATTCCGAAGTACTCTTATGTCGGCCCCGAGCAAAGGCCAGTTCCTGTCACAGCACACTCACAGCGCCCCCTACAGAGACTTTGTGTTAAGGCCTTTATAAGTGCCTAGTGCCACATTAGAGTTTACGTATTTATATTCCACATGTGCCACACTGTTTCGTTTGTCACGAATGCCACTCCTCAGCATGAGCTGCTGAGTAGTTAACATTTCACTTTGATCAGTGCTAAAAAAATCCACAGGAACCCCCCAAGTCCTGCCAACATTAGTGTTCCTGAACACAGCTGTTGTTTTCTGTCACACTGTAATAGTCTGTAATGAGTTTGTGTAACTACTCATAATGTTATCATTACTTGGAACAAAAATAGGCCACCTTTTTACAAGCTGATCCAAATTATTGCCTGTCCCTTTGAGGAAAACATGCATTTCATTTCCGTGGAAGCCTCACATACTGAAATAAGTGATTAAAATTACTTTTTTTTATATTCCACTGATGACCTGGTTTAGTGTCGATTCTTCACGCACATGCCACAATCTGAAAATCACGGCACTCTACACTTCTGCTATTTTCTCTGGGGCACAAAGCTAATGATGCTAATGGTCCTGACATTCACCTTAAGGTTAGTCCAACTTCCTGGATTTTCATTTGGATTACACGCCTCAGTGCTTAACATACACTTATAAAGCCTCAATGGGTATAAAGATGTTTTAACCACAGTTGAGTGTACTACATAAAGAACCATTTTCCCTCTCAATATCACCAGATCTAAATATTCTGCCTTTGCATAAATACATCAGACCAGGTCTTAGATCACAATACACTGTTTCTATCGTAGTTTTGAAAGAGAAGAACCCGGACTAGGAATACGTTAAACTCTGCAAATAATAGAATGTGCACAATGATTTATTTTGTATTTCAATTTTAGTTTAGTTTTGTTTTTCATCCACTTATAAAGACACCAGCAGGTATACTGTTACTCCATTATAGGTCCTGGTCTCTACAGGCATTTGCTGTAGTTTGGTGCCAAATCAGGCATACATTATTTCAGGACATTTAAATGGTAAAAGGGCCTATGGTGAGAAAGTTATTTTATTATGAATATTGCGTAACTGCTTAATGTGCTGCATCGTTAGTGTCATTTCCCCTGCCATTCGAGTTCTATATTAAAAGGCCATTTGTCGGCTAAACTAAACAGGAGCGAGAAGCCAAAACAAACCTGTCATAGCTCTTCAGAATGATGGCTTAAATCACAGACAAGACTGGCACCACTCTGTAGCACATTAGCAAATGCAGGCGATGAAAGTGAATTAGTCTCTGTAATGTCCTCAGACTGACTTTGGAAAAACAAATGCTGAGTGTTGGTGACTTGAAATGAAGGCTGTGGTGCCATTGTAAATCCTCTCCTACAAACTGAACACTCACAAGACAGCTTTGGAATAGATGTTATCGAACTAGCACATTCCACATTGCAAACATAATTGATGCCCAATCCATTTCATTCTGAGAGCTCTCATTTATGACTCTCTCAAGATCATTTAAGAAATCAATACTGGGAAATCATAACTATAGTTCAGACAACACTCATTTTACCGGTAGTTGTATTTTTTCCACTATAGATCATTTCTATAAGATCAAAATTTCAACAATAATTTACTGTTTGTATGTCCAAGGTTCAAGGTGTACAAACAAAATAATAGTTTTTTGAAGCCAAGTTTTCGACCAAACTTCCTATCTAAGGCAGCCATGCAGCCTAGCCAAAGCTGACTGCTGTGATATGCCTGAACCAGTTCATTTCTTCTTGACACATTCAATTTACTAGTTTATTTTTGCCTCCCAGACACGATATGGCCGCTTCTGTGGAAACTCGATTAGCTCATCACAGGCATTAGCTTCACTGGAAGATGCAAGTTTCCACCACAGCCTTTGAAATGGCTCCAAAACACACTCGGAAAATTACATTCACAGACACTTAAGATCTGTGCTCTTACCCCAAAAGTGAACACACAAACAAATAAGGCAGAGAGACCCCTGTGCTGAGCTGCCACCCACATAGACATGAGGAGAGATGAAACATGTCTGGAAGTGATATTGACTTGATGTAATTAAGTGGTTGAGGAATGAGCCGTGCATGATTGGAGAGCCAAATAAGGAAATTATGTGGCTGGAAATACAAATTCAATTATTCAGAAAGTGTGGGTACTGTGTTGTTCCTGTTGGAAAATGGGCTATATCTTTCACATTAGAAACATTCTTGAAAGGACTGAAAAACCCACTGCCACAAACCAGAGGAAACTAAGACCCTCCAAGTCTTGAGCAGGACTCTGTCAGAATGGGATCTATAATGAAGGGGAACAATAAGGACAAAACTGACTATAACAAAAACAAAGATTGAATTAGTTTTAAGTAGGAAGTAATGAATGGACTTGAAATAAGAAAGCAGGGCTAAACCAACTTATGGTTTTTAGGACACTTGGACTTTGAAAGGCTGAAAACGTCCTAGATAGTTGTTTGCTCCTCAACAATGCAATAGAACTTTAAAAAACAAAACCTTGCACTGGCATAACCTGCCCATAGTTAAGCCGGGAGAAATGTTATAGTGTCAGAAATGGACACTATAAAAAAGGTTATACATGTGGTAAATTACATTAATATGAACATGAAGTATCTCCATGCTTTAAAGTTCCACTGTCATTGCAGGGATATTTGAGGGCCATCTGAATTGAAAAAAATAAAAAAAATAACACGATTTGGGACAACGAGCTTCTGTCTATGTCTGAGGTCTCACCGCCCCCTGCTGGCTACTGGTGTAAGTGCAAGTTATTGTTCATGGACCTATGCTTCAGTGTGGTTTTAGCAGGACATTTCATTTATTTATTTGTGTGTATTTATTTATTTGCACTTTACCAATACTATACCTTTTGTGTATATTTTTTTAGATTTGTGAAAAATTGATCCCCCAAAAAGCCCTGTAAAGATTATGAATGGGGTCCCATATTGCATAAACATAAAATGTAGGATGGTAAGAACAGAGGAAGTTTAGTTTAATTTTACATAATAAAAAAAAACATAAACATTATAAATACAATACACAATCACATGCATAAATCCACACACACACATTCACAGACACAAAACTATGGCTGGTAGATTTGAGTCTTCTATTTTTCCCTTTTAGTTTGCGTTTGTTCCTTGTGTGATGCTGTGTGCAGAGGACACAGTCGGTTGTTGAGTTTGTGCACAATACTGTACATCACTCATGAATTGTTGTATAGATTCATTTCTGGAAGCTAGACGGCCAGATCTGTGGAAGAGAGTGTCTGTGTGAGCCGAAGGTGTGGACCAGGTCAAGGCTCTTCGGGCTTTCTTTTGGATAATCTGGAGTTGATAATATGGTTTAATGATCTGTTTCAAATCTATAATGACAATAACAATAATAAAATTTCTCCTCCTAAAGATCATGTCTTCAACTGTATGTAATTTTGAAAACAATATATATTGACCACATGTAGTTTCATCTATTTTCAACACTTTTCATTAAAAAATTATTTAAAACAATCTCTTCTTGGAATAACCAGTAAGATTAGCTTGAGGCGAACAGCTAGACCAATGGTAAGGGGCCCCATCTGTCTATCAAGGATATGAAGGAATTGTTTCCAATAAGAACCCAGGGGGGGGGGGGGGGGGGGGGGTCTTACTGGTTCTTGCTTAAAAAAAATCTCTCACAATCTGAAAAGAACCCAACCTTCCTTTAAGGCCTAGATGAAGATGTATATCATAATATTCATATATTATGATATACATATTCATATAAAAATTATGATATTCCTCATCCTCTGTGTCCGCTCCGCTCAGATCCGCCACTCCGAGTGCCTCCAGAAGTTTCCACAGGTCGTTTTGAATAGAATGATCCTCTGTATTCATTCTAATATTGAGAGTTCATTCTCGAGTTCATGCTTTTATGTTCCCCATGGGCACAGCGTTGCCCTCTGCTGGCTGCTCGGCCGGCTTCTGGACCTTGTTGTCTTCGAGGATCTGATTCGTGAGTCTGTCGTAGAACCAGTCTAGGTCCTGAGGGTCCTCAGGCCACAGCAAGTACCCTCGGGTCTGGAGGAACGCTCGGATGGCATGGTGCTTCATCAGCTGGTAAGGAGTCACCTTCACAGAGGATCAAACAGAAGTGACAAATATACACCAAACATTCATTCATATTAGAGCAAGCAAGTCATTGGAAGCAACACAATGCGACACAGAGGGCCGATGAAAGGACTGTTGCAGATGAACAAAGACATTTATTTCAATGTCAACACATATCAACAGCACATCTCAACTAAATATTGAATTGGATGAGAGTTTGGAGTTACTTAAAGATGACAAGAAAATAATAAATACCTGGGTTAAAATTGATGTGAACGTGAACCCTTAGGGCACCAAAGTCACAGAATTTTGCTTCTTGAGCTCCTGAATCCAGAGCACTTTCTATACAGCGACCTGTCTTCCCACCAACATCTTCCTAAACAATATTTTTTAACATCTTTTATTTATTTTTATCTATTTTAGTTAGTAAGTAAGTACTTTATTTATATAGCGCATTTTTACAGACCAAGGTCACCAAAAGCGCGTTACAATGTTCAGAATTCAGATATTGTTCCACTCTCTACACACACGATGAAGACGGAAGCAAGACGTCGGACACACTGGCGCATCAAAGCGTCTGACCAACACCATCCATTCACTCACTCAATACATTCATACCTATTGTGCATTATTTAGTGATAGTGGAAACCGGAGCACCCGGAGGAAACCTACGCAGACACAGGGAGAACATGCAAACTCTACCCACAAAGGCCCTGATCCGACCGGGATTTGCCCAGTAGTCTTCAATCTCTTCAAAAGTTTCATGGTCTAATTTCTGAAAAAACTATTACCGCCTGAAAAATACTATAATTGTTCAGTAATAACTAAAATGACAACTTGTGTGACACCGACATTATTTGCCTCTTGACTTGAGTTAAGAGTCCTCTGAGTGATATGTTTACCTTCCCCACCACGATCATGATGAGCACATTGGACAGCTCCTCCAGTTTTCGGCCCTGAGCCAAAGTGAACGCCTCCAGACACCAACCGTCTGCAAACAGATATTTGTTTATGTTTAACATGATAGAAGCGACGGATTGTACACAGTCATAATAATAAGCCACAGTACGGGTTTCCTGGGGGTATTAACGATGGCTCTTGATAGGAATGAATGTTTTTAAAAAAAGCAGCACTCCTGGTATTCTGTAATTCGCAAATAAACTAAGCTAGGTCCTTGGTTTATCATACCACAAAACATCAACAACAGTCGGAGGTCTTCAATCCATATATGGCTAGTATCCTGTAATCTGTGTCTGCCATGTTTTTTATTCAATCAAAGTGCGCAAAAGGAAAACAAGGACATTCCTCAACAGCGTAAGGACATGAAATGCACATTAACACACCAATATTGACAAAATAAAAATAAATACATACAGGACATACATTACATAAAGGGGTCTGCTAATAAACTAATATTAAATTGTATCTATAAAGTTGAGGAAGATAGCACTAAGTTTCAACATAAGCACTTATTGTGTTAAGGCAAGCACATTTTCAAACCTTACTCTTCTTTTCACCTGCATG